GCATATGTTTTATATGGTGTCCCATACCTTTAGCGTTTCCAGTTGTGTAATCCCAAGTTAAATTACAGTATTCTAAACCTGGTACTAAATCAAATAGTCTGGATAACTGGTCTTGAGTGACAGTTGACTCTGCCATCACTTGTAGTTTTTGGCTAACACTGAACAGATCTGGTAAAGCCATACCAGAACCAAAATCTGAAATGAAAAAATAAACGTGTAGAATCACAAGCAAAAATATTTTTTTTTCACCCTGTGCTACATCATCAGATGGTTATGTAATATATGTAGTTGGCGTAAGAGATATGCAGATCACTTATTTAAACATGCATATAATTCAGCTAATGTATATGAATGCATCTTTGATCGACTATGGCCCTCGCTGTGTGGATGTGTGATACAAGAAGATTGTTGTTGATTTCGGTAATGAAGGATGATGCACTGACCATTAATGCATCTTATAAATCACCAATATCAGAATACTGTAAAATACTTTATTTTTGCTTGGAATTATTTTTGCTATTTTCGCTGAAGGAATGATTCAGTGAAAATAAAATCCAGCGAATATACCATTTTCATACAAAATTCCATACAAAACATTCAAAAAGTTTTTTTCAGCGAGAATTAATTCCAGCTAAAATTAAGTATTTCACAGTAAGAGATTTTTATGACGCCATATATTTACATTATCACACGATAATGTAAACCTCTATTTGCAAGAAAATTTATTTTCCACAAATAACTGTTGTTTAAACGATCTATACAAATGTGAGGAAACGCTGAATGTAAATGAGTCGCTAGCATGCACAATCTTGTTCGTATGCTTGTGCGTTGACCTCAAAAACTGCACATGGTAACGATCGACCAATGAGAATATGGTGTTTCAATAACAGGCAGTGCACGGTATTATAATCCTAAATGACATTGGTCTTCACAATTGCATGATTTCAAACACATTCAAGCCATATATGGATAGGTCTCTAGAACCTACATCAAACACATATTGTCATGAAGACCACTACTCTTCATGTATAGCATGTACTCGAGGGAAGCTTTTAGAAGCGGGCACACATCAAACCATTTTACACCATAGATTCAGTTTTACATACGATAAATATTAATTGATGAACAACTGAATGCGAACATTTTTTTTTTTGAATAATTTGCTTTGATTCAAAAATAGATACAGGGAATCACGTCAAATGTCAAATACTACTACCTGATTTTCCTTGTGAACCGGTATTATAAACATTGGCGGCATAACTCTGATAAGGATCATTATAAGGTATGCTGTTCTGATGTTGCATTGGCATGTGGTCTCTGTCTCTGTCTCGATCTCGATCTCTCTCACGCTCTCTCTCTCGGTTGATCTTAGAAATTTTGGGTTCAGCCAAAACTGCCTTGAAACCTGGAAAAGAACAAAATATTCAAAACATACACTTAGTCTGAAAGGGGAACTAAATTGGTGTATTAACCTAGATCATTCAACTATGAACTATAGCTAGTTTATGTTTATCAAAATATAACAAGGTTTGGGTAATTTTAATCAATTTATCGTGACCACCATCATTATTGTTAACACCGACAATGAAAACATTGCAGATTGTTGTAATTTTCATCATCACTGCACACAAAGTAAAAATTGAGATATACCAAGAAAAACAGCAGTTTGTTATGTTTTCTACGAAGCAACAACTACTAAAGGTGAATCTGTCTCTAAGTCACTGAGCAAGCTTGCCAATAAAAAAACTGTCGGTAAATTTAATTCAATTTAATCACTGTTAATAAACTAATTTCGTTTTAACAGATTAAGATTTTAGTAGCATTAATCCAAGCCGTCAACCTAAGGGAAAATATAAGATTAAATATAAATATATTTTACAAGACTATATTGAAAACACATCAAATATAATCCCTCATAATACACCACCATATGGGAATCAACAATTGAATGATTGATGGAGATTACAAGCCACTTTGACTCAATACTTCAGTATTTTAATAGAACCCTGTAGTTACTGGGGTTTTTTTTTGTTTAAATTTGAATTAATCACCCACAAGTGCTGGTATCAAGCTACATTGTCAGGATGTTTATGCAAAATAAAAAAACACTTTTGCGTTCAAATCATCACCACAATTCTGTTACATGTATATATATAATTTGTTTGAGAAGGAAAAACGAATGTTGTATTCAATGAATGATATATTTGACAAAGTAGATCTCAACAGGTATCAGGTATATGATCTATTCACTTCATTTGTTGCTATCTGAATACAAATGGCCCTTGACAACTGGTGAATTTTATTATTTTTCAAAACTCTTCTGTCATTCAAATACAGTTTATTTTGATTCTGACACCAGCATGTAACCCTATTTTTTTTATTATATTCACATCCTTTTATTAAACATTGCTATCAAAACT